GTTTATTGAAAAAAACCCAAAACAAAACAAAACAAAACAAAAAAATAATAAGGTAAGATATTTTATCAACACTACTTTACTATTTTATACTAATATCCTAATGCTTTTAGTAATAAGTGACATTTTACAAACAATTATTCAGATTCCGTGAATATGGTATTTACGTCCAGTAATAAAACCGGATTTTAACCATGTTTCATATTTTATTGTCGGATTAAACCACAAGAGTTCCACAATCTTGTTAGTCCCCAGTCCGGGAAACGTAGTACGCCATTTTGGCCACGGGACAGCCAAACGTGTGTTTATTTTCATGGTTACACACTTTTTATTGTACAACATAAACAGATTAGATTTTTTTACGATCTGTTGATCGAATTTTTCAGTGTGACTTTAAAGAATATTACTCTACTGGCAGTGATATTTCAGCCGCGTGGGCAACATGTAGTTTACGGTGTAGTCAACGATGTTTCGAGAGGAAATTTCTATTTCAAAAAATGAGCATTTTTTTATTCCAAGAATAACTCAGTGTTTGCTGTGTCAACAGGTCACTGTGCAGATGTGAAGATCGGTATTGCAGAGGTGTTTGTGCTAATTTGGTTTTGTGCGTTTCTAAAGGGCAATTGTTGATTTAGCAATTATATAGTGGTGGGTCCGACATCCCTAACTAATCTAATACAGAGATGACCAGTATATCTAAATCATTAGTATCAGATTACCTTGTGTCAGTTACATAGGATTAGATATTTCGGTGTTGTGTACTTATAAATTTGTTACAGATATTTTAGGTATTGGTTTAAAGGAAAAGAACTACAAATTCTTTTGGTGTATAGTGTAATCTCATTTCATATTTAGTAAACAAGAACAAAAACAAACAAATGAATAAACAAACAGGCAAATCTGAAAGCTAAAATCATCAAATTTAGTTTCGGATAATGTATTAAAAAAGCGAAATTCCAGATGACAGACTCATTTCGGCTCTGCTCATCATTGGGTTGATATTTGGGAAAAAAAAGGTAAATGTCGCCAATTGAGAGTGTTAAAGTGAAATGATTGTATACCAACGTGTGAATGACGCGTTAGATATATGACATATTCGATTAATTCAAGGTTCTCATCGTGAGAGCCGGGATAGAGACACCCAGCTATGACATTTTATACGGTATAAAACGCATCGAATTTCATACTCCCAAGTAAAAAAGACTTTCTAAAATGTGACAATTGTGATAGTAATAAAATTTTCAGTCTGTCCTATCAACGTATATCTCTTATAGTACAAATGTGTGCATTTGCCCCACTTTTAGGCTGTGTAATTATGTACTCATAAGTGCTATCTTTATTAATCCTTTAAAAATCATTATTCATAATTAATTAACCATGGCACGAGTAACATATTTAACCTGGTTAAATACAGTTAAATACAGATTACCTGGGTTGCAAGCATTATCACTGTTATAAAAGAAAAGCAACGAGTTCGTTAGAATTTAATTTTAACTTGTGTAAAGTTTCTTATAACCCGTATAACAGGTCTCGGGGTGAAAAATAGTATTTACATACATATGAAATGTAAAAGATATTAATTTCAACAAAATAATAGGTTTATATTTCATTACATTGGACATGCCTGCGACAATTGAAAACTTTTACGTCATTGATAATTTAAGCATAGCGCTAATTATGTATAAATGACAAAGTATGCATCATTTCCTGAACACAGTGAAATTTGTCTTAGCAAGGTCGCATGCTGTTTTTGTCTCTTTTCAAAATATATAAGGGAAAAGGTTTATGTTAGCCTATTTTCTTATTAACAAAGGAAACTTATATCCTTGTGCTGCCGACATAGTATTTTTTGTCTACCTTTGTTCGTGTTTACACGGAACATACGTCACATGTCTACAACACAAAGCACCTTCGGTATAACTGCATTCCTCATATTAAATCCGCCAAACACTCACTGTTTATGACACGACATGTGATGATTCATGATGGACGAAGAACGAAGGACAAATGTCCCTAAGATTTCATGCAGATATTGCATTATATATGCGGTGAATGCACTTCAAATCTGAACAGCCTGAATTATACAGAGGCCGTGTTTATATAGATATAATTTTATTTACTACTACCACGTCAAAATACGTATATATTTTCCATAGAATGAAGGTAATTTTGAAAATATTTAAAAACCACATGTGTAATATAATCAGTTACGTCTCTACCTACACTCTTCCGAGCATTAAAATGCATTTATCGGGCTTGAGTTAGACTATCTCTGTCGACTGGGGTTTGCAAGGTCATATATGATGATGGAGATGATGAGGTCGTTCTGGGGTCGTCACCTCCAATTCCACGGTATCAAGACGATACAGTTGACTGAACATTATGATTTCTGAGGTTTCTATTTGAAAAGAGCTACAATGGTTTCAGTACAACTATGTTAAGTATTAGTTACAGTCAAATTAGAGATATTTACAAAAAGACATGCTTTTAAACAGAGTACAATGATATGTTTTCTAGACGATTTAAACGCAATGCGTTTTATTTTTCTCCTAATTTCGAACGGTGTTAAGTAGTAAATTATCTTATTTGCTATAAGTAATTTTGAGATTGGGAAGACCATGCTGCCTTTAGTAATTAATTAATTGATTAATTTGCCCATATAATCTATGTCAGAGAACCATATACTCACGGTATAACATGCAGACGCCGAGGTCGACCTTGATTTACGTGTCGGGTGTCCTGGATGATTGTTAACCTTGATTTACGTGTCGGGTGTCCTGGATGATTGTTAACCTTGATTTACGTGTCGGGTGTCCTGGATGATTGTTAACCTTGATTTACGTGTCGGGTGTCCTGGATGATTGTTAACCTTGATTTACGTGTCGGGTGTCCTGGATGATTGTTAACCTTGATTTACGTGTCGGGTGTCCTGGATGATTGTTAACCTTGATTTACGTGTCGGGTGTCCTGGATGATTGTTAACCTTGATTTACGTGTCGGGTGTCGTGGATGACGTGTCGGGTGTCGTTAATGATTGTTGACCTAGATTTACGTGTCGGGTGTCCTGGATGATTGTTAACCTTGATTTACGTGTCGGGTGTCCTGGATGATTGTTAACCTTGATTTACGTGTCGGGTGTCGTGGATGACGTGTCGGGTGTCGTTAATGATTGTTGACCTAGATTTACGTGTCGGGTGTCCTGGATGATTGTTAACCTTGATTTACGTGTCGGCTGTCCTGGATGATTGTTAACCTTGATTTACGCGTCGGGTGTCCTGGATGATTGTTAACCTTGATTTACGTGTCGGGTGTTGTGGATGACGTGTCGGGTGTCGTTAATGATTGTTGACCTAGATTTACGTGTCGGGTGTCCTGGATGATTGTTAACCTTGATTTACGTGTCGGGTGTCCTGGATGATTGTTAACCTTGATTTACGTGTCGGGTGTCGTGGATGACGTGTCGGGTGTCGTTAATGATTGTTGACCTAGATTTACGTGTCGGGTGTCCTGGATGATTGTTAACCTTGATTTACGTGTCGGGTGTCCTGGATGATTGTTAACCTTGATTTACGTGTCGGGTGTCGTGGATGACGTGTCGGGTGTCGTTAATGATTGTTGACCTAGATTTACGTTTCGGGTGTCCTGGATGATTGTTAACCTTGATTTACGTGTCGGGTGTCGTGGATGACGTGTCGGGTGTCGTTAATGATTGTTGACCTAGATTTACGTGTCGGGTGTCCTGGATGATTGTTAACCTTGATTTACGTGTCGGGTGTCGTGGATGACGTGTCGGGTGTCGTTAATGATTGTTGACCTAGATTTACGTGTCGGGTGTCCTGGATGACGTGTCGGGTGTCGTTAATGATTGTTGACCTAGATTTACGTGTCGGGAAATCATAGACGTTTACCATTCTGGAACAGGTTGCCTCTTGACTTTGTCTTTGAATTGATATTTTGTGAAAATGGTATTTTTATATTACCGTTCTTGATGACTATGCATTTTGTCTTCATTTTATTAATGTCCCGAGACAAAACAAGTTTCTATTTCACCAAAAAATGAATTAAATAATTGACTCGCTGTAAAGCAATAAAGCAAAACCAAGTTTCCATGGAGTCGCTGGTTTGATCATGCTTAAATGACCCTTAACGACGGCGATACATACAGACACGTTTATTGACAATATTGAAGCATGGTGAATTAAGAAATTTATATCTTTATACATATGATGCTGGATTTTCTTACGAGATAATTCTAGACATTCAACCCTTCCAGATGTAGTTGACAATACGTAAAAATGACTAAATATAGTCATAACCTAATACATTGGAAAACTTTCCAGATTACCCAGAATCCTGTCAGATCGGAAGTCAACAAATTATGCAGTAATGAAAACCATCATTGCCTTTATTTAATTTTCAGTGATAACATTATTGAATTTCTAAACCAGGTTATCGTATCCCTTTGTGGATGTTCTGTTTCAGTAATTGCTGTTAAACGGGTTATAATTAGATAAAATCCCCTCGCCTGAAATTGAAGTTTAGACACCATCTCTATTTTAAGTTTGCATTTTGTGGTCGAAATATTTGACATATTTGAAATATACACAATGACTTTACTTGAAGGGAATGTGGGGTGGGGTGTGTGTGTTGCTCAAGTTCACCTCATGAAAGAGCTGATGCATTATAAACAATTTCTTGTACAAAGTGCCCTAGACCTCGGTTTACGAGCACAATTCGTAACTCTAGCTTTAGGCAACTTTAGTTTAGAAAATGTCAGACAAGACTTGGGCATTACATAAAACAAAATAATGAAATATCGATTGATAACTAAGGCCCAGACCAGATTCTTTGTCACTCAAACACGGCTCGCCAACATTGTTGTCGAAACACAAACTCCTGATATACACTCTCCTAGCAAGTAACGGTCGTTTCTTGTTGTTTATACTCGACACGTAAGATACTTATATAAATTTTGTAAATAAGTATTTTGTTTTCTGTTGTAGGTTGGATTGGTGTTCATGCTAAGCATTGCGTCCTTGATCATCTACTTCATTGACGCATCCCAGTAAGTGGAATTTTGTCTATGACTCAAATTTATATGATTTCTCTCTCTCTCTCTCTCCCTCCCTCCCTCCCCCCTCTCTCTCTTCCTCTCTCTCTCCCTCCCTCATATCTCTCTCTCTCTCTCTCCCTCCCTCTGCTTGACCGATCGAAATGAACATCCTTGATTTAACAATTTATTTCAAAGTTGAACTTTATTTTACATTATAAAAATACTACCTGTTTAGAGGAATGTCCTTTTTTCTTTTGATTCAGTTTGAATGCGTCTACACTGTAGCAAATCCTCATAGAATGAAAATTCAGTCTGTAAGGATGAGCATTATCTACTGATCTTTCTAACATGATTTTAGAGACGTATTCTAGAGTTAATGTAAAACCTGTGTTAAGTTTGTTATCTCACAGCTATATATATATATATTACTTGTCTGGCGGTTTGATGATCTATACACACGAAATATATAAGTAATATTCTTTGAATAACGAAAAAAGTCTAGATACAATCTATCAAACAGTTGTTACACATAACAATAAACTCAAAATTATTATCACTTCAAATGACAAAATCTGAAATGAAGCGCAGACTTTGTTTTATTTAAAAAGTTTCAGAAATTATAAGTAAACTTCAAGTCGGTTGAAATAATATGAAAATTCACGTTGTTCAGATTTGAAATGTTTACTATACTTTTGATAACGGTACATTGATAGTTTTGCTTGGTTTTTACGATGCGTAAACAGTGAAATGAATAATTGATTATTGAATATGAAAACGATATGTTTACAATTTGGGACAATTATAGTTAGAAAGTGTTCTCAAAACTTTCAACAAATTATGAAGATATGAAGATGACATGTTCCATAAATTGAGTTTAAATGTCGTCAAACTCAATTTTTTCATGTTATGGGTTGTGACTTGTTCGGTTGTCTACAGTCTGTCCTAAGATATGCCGTATTTGTGTATAACTGAATCGGCTACACAGTAGCTAACTCTTTCTGAAATAGATCCATGCAAAACTTTTCTGAAATGATTATATATTGCATATTCCCTATGAACTAACTCATGATGTTTTATTTATAGAAGTTATTTACATGCTTATGTGTTATTTATAGAATGTAAGTTCGTTGTATATTAACAGTGTGTTGAATTGTCTTAAGACATCACTGGACCGTTAATATACCTGATAGAGCGTAACTGATGTACGTTTTAAATATAACGCATTCTAAATAGTGCACATTGAAGTGTATTAGAATTCGCTGAGATGAACCTTAATCATATTGATAATTTTGTTAAAACTAATAGGAATGTGATGATTTAGTTAAAGGTCTGATAGCACAGGCTTTTTTATTGAACAAGTACAATGAAATGAATACTTGTACAAACATTTAGTTTTAGTGTCTAGTTTACACAGAGTCTAGTTTACACAGAGTCTAGTTTACACAGAGTCTATTTTACACAGAGTCTAGTTTACACAGAGTCTAGTTTACACAGAGTCTAGTTTACACAGAGTCTATTTTACACAGAGTCTAGTTTACACAGAGTCTATTTTACACAGAGTCTAGATTACACGAGGTCTATTTTACACGAGGTCTATTTTACACGGGGTCTAGTTTACCTAGGGTCTAGTTTACCTAGGGTCTAGTTTACACAGAGTCTTTTCTGTAAAATGCTTTCACCTAGTTCAACAAATATCTCAATTGTCTTTGTCGTGCTTTTCATTTGGCTCAGAAACTATCTATTTACACAGAAACTACCCATACATATTGAATATATAAGTATAAAATTATCTGAATCTTTATGGTGAAATATTTCTGAGTTTAACACCTCTTTGATACAATAACTGACGATATACTCTTCAAATGAACAGAATCAGCTTTAAATGTAGTATTGTCATCGAGAATGCAAGATATGAAAAGTAGCAACACAATTTTGCTTTACAAATCCATAGAGCCTATTGGTGGTATAAGTTTTTTCTATAACTGTTCAACAAATATCTCAATTGTCTTTGTCGTGCTTTTCATTTGGCTCAGAAACTATCTATATGTTTGACACTATGTACAAAGAAACTACCCATACATATTGAATATATAAGTATAAAATTATCTGAATCTTTATGGTGAAATATTTCTGAGTTTAACACCTACATAAAAATTGCTTTCCTTTGATACAATAACTGACGATATACTCTTCATTTTTCATCTATGAACAGAATCAGATAACAGACTCAGTGATAAATGTAGTATTGTCATCGAGAATGCAAGATATGAAAAGTAGCAACACAATTTTGCTTTACAAATCCATAATGCCGGCGCCTTTCTGTCTCTTGGCGCTTGTTTGCAATATGACCTGTTGTTAAAGCGGTTCAAATTGACCTACTTTTTGTGTGAACAACTAATTGTTAACAATGTTGTTTTTTTGTGTCTTGTGATCGAATTATGTTTAATGTTTATGATTAAGATTTCCATTTTGACAACGAAAATTTCGTTGAAATGGATGGTCTGACTCTTTACCCAATATTTGATGGTAGTCAAGAACACTTATTACCGAGGCAATTGGCTTCGTTGTCTGCAGCAATTAACAGTGTCAAATGTGGTTTTACTTTCTCGGCCTTGGCTAATCTGTCAAGGTTAATTATGCTATATTTTCGTTGTCAAATATAATTTTCACTTCCAAAATTTGTTACATTGTCAATGTCTATTAAAATGTCATCTTTTCATCTTTGACTTTAAAATATTATTTTCTCACTTGTGGTTTCATTTCCAAGGAGAATTATATATTTTCATCTTTGACAAAATTGTTAAATGCAATATAATTTTAACAGCATTGAGTATATTTTAACTGCCAATATCATAATTGATTATATTTATAGAACGTTTTGGTCTTATATGGTATTCATAGAGAAATAAAGAAGTGCCCTAACGTATTGAAGCTTTGTCAGCAAATTAAACCAAGTACATTTTCCTAGTCGATGCCGCGCAGGTACCTCAACCACGTGACGCCCGGCGGGCTAATCAGGACTTAATTAAATATGCAACATTATGCATCGCCATTGGCAGAGAGACGCTCGAACATCCACATATTGGAACCAAGCGTGCTCAAAACGAGATTGAAAATGAAGGTTACTTGCACCTCATTGTCCTATTATTACAAGCGTTTGTTTGTTGTAACATCGCTGTCTTCATAGACTCTTAACATTAGATAATGAGGTTTTTGGAAAGTTACTTTTATTTTTTTCTACAATACCTTTAGATGTAAGGAGAAATTGTTTTGATTCAGCATGTGAAAGCGAACAAAAATAACTGAAAAATCTGAGAGATGAAAAATGCGCTTTCCTTGAGATTTTTTTCGCCTGTACCTTCATCTATGTAGAAATTAATTCTTTATTATACCTGACCGTGTACAGTACATTTGTACATTGTGTTTTTGACCCCTATTACAGGTAAAATTCAGTCAGTAGCACACAGATGATACACACGCATGCTAAAAAATGATAATTTTTTTGGGGGATTTGTTTATGTCAAATCGTAATTACTCCTAATCCACGAAATTATTAACAGATAAAAATTGACATAAACTTTAGTAAAAAATGGATTTCAGGAGAAATGTATCTAACTAAACTAAATTAAGTGCAAACGAAAAAAAAAATAGTTTTTTGCAAAACCGCGAAATCTAAACCCCACGAAAATATATATGATTTTACAATATCCTGATAGATAGATGATTGACATTCTTTTTAATTGCACACACACAAACACAAAAAGAAGTAGGCTTGAATAAGTGATGGCAGACTTCCATACAATCAGTCAGACATAATTGGGAACGTTTTGATTAATATGTACCATCTCACTTTTCATAAAGTTCACGACGCGAAACATTGACACTATAGCAGAAATTCGTGAATAAATGACAAGTGATATGAATATCTTATGTCACGTTGCTATGTTGTTCGTGTTGGTAGCCATTTACAACTTGGGTTTGAAATGCTCCATTGAACATTCTCAGTTCTGTTGTTGGGAAATTTCAGCGGATCGATCCTGTGACTAGGGCCCTAAATAACAATAATAGAAAGACAAATATTAAATGTGACGTCATGACATTGTTGAACTTGTTAAATATGTCTTATTTATCATTAACCTATAGTTTATGTGGTTGAAATGTATTCAATCATAGGAATTCGTAAAACCGACGTTTATCATTTCCGTGAAATACGCCATTTGCTAATGATAGCTCAGTCAATACCATATTTGAATCTACAAATGATGTCTAATGGTGAAATAATTGTCATTTTGAAATTTTCACGTGTGAAAATATAAGTGTCAGTGGTTGTGTAATATTGCTGTACTGTCAAAAACACATCGTTATATGTATACAGTACATTTCCTAATCTGAAACGGTTTCTATAAAGTCTCTTCTACGAAACGACAATTGCTTATGTACGAAATGCATGTAAAATTCAATTTGGCTTTGATCAACTTTTTTATTGTTTGATAAAGTGTTGCGACATTAGTAAATTCATGTTCGGTTGACAATGCTGTGGCTTTCGTTGTCTGAAAATTGTGTTTCGTAGTATGTCAATTTTCCCTCGCCGTGGTTTCAGTTTCAATGTTATTCTAATTATAAAATTTTGAAGTAAAATTATTTTACTCCGAAACAGTAGTCGAAGCATTAAGTGCTTTGAAACGAAATTAGATTTATGAAACATATCTCTTATTTGGAACAATGTCAATAGATTAGAAAACCATTAAGTGCTTTGAAATGATATTGAATTTACGAATTATATTCTTTATTTTGGATCAACGTCAATGTCTGATCTACTGTGTACATTTCACTCACTCCCCCCCCCCCCCCCCCCCCCAATGAATAAGAGGTCTCTGTCACGGGATGTCATGCGTACTCGGCACTTCCTCTAGCGATCAGTGTTCAGTTAATATGTCTCTTTGCCTTCAGCTCTGCCATTTTGTTGCATGGATGGTCTTTTGATAACACAATACCTGTACAACGTTTTTTATAACTTCTGAAATATGCTACTTTAATCAGTATACAATGGCAAGTCTGTAGAGACTGTTTCACAAAACATTAAAGCTTGTCATCACGCTTCACATAAACGACCATATCAGCGAAATAAATCTTACGTGGCAATATTTGCTAAATTCAGCTTAGGGACATTTAAGTGTTCATCTGTTTATGTATGATTCAATATACCGTATACCATATATATGGATTTTTATGATGTTTCATCAATGATACGACAGCTCTGAACGTAGCATGCTAGTTTAGATTACAACACATGGAAAGAGGTGCTGGTCGACTCTGGGAATGTAATCAAATTAAGATTTCTAGACGGACGAAATAACTGTTTGATGTAGTTTAATTTATTATTTGTCTCAACTGAAAATTTCAGGAAGTATTGCAAGCATGCATATTTAGAGGTAATAGTATCTTACCGCTTTTCGCGGTTAAGATATTGCACTATTTGTAGTTTTCTGTGTGAATAGAATATGTTGTCATACACATACAACTATTTTCTAGCGGTAGGACAACAAATCATATTTATTTACAGAATATAGGCACCTGTTCTGTTTGCTGTTAATATTGCAACTTTTGCGGATTGCAAATTCATCAATGCGCTTATCTGTTGAAAATAGTTTGATTGTACCAAAAAAAAAAAAAAAAAGTACGTTTACGGATTCACGTGGGTAAACTGAAGTCTGGGTTGAACACGCATCGTGGTCTGTTACCAGAGGGTAAAAACCCGCATGATAACGAAGGACTCCTGTCACAGCTGGCCTGTGTGTCCCTGGCAGCCGTGTCCTTCATTTACTTAAATTGTGAGACAATTTAGACAGAATACTAGAACTATTGATCATGGTAGTAGGGGTCGATGTCAACATCATCCTTTCATAGTGGATATCGGTTTTCTAGGGTTAGCAATATCACATGCTTATTGACTTACAAACTAAGGGACCTAGTGAATATAAAGGTTGAATATAACCAGAGAATGTTTTTTGCAGGTTTGTATGCACAAAATGTGGAAACAAACACGAATTGATAAGAATTATACAGTGTTATCGGAAGAAAAACTCCAGTAAAATATGTATGTTTACATCATCTATCTCTGATTTAATGGAAATTCTCTGTTTCATATGAATTACCACATGAGGTGCATGGAAATGTATTGTTCCCCCATTTTATGTTACCCTATATCACCAATAATATCCTATAATATTATTGCATAAATCGATTTCTGACATCTGTAGATGAATTTTTCATGTTTTCACGAAAGAGTAATTCTCCTAAACAAGCTATCAATTTAATGTATATATATAATGAAAATATGAACAGCTCAGTGTCCGGTTCACACGTGTTTCTGATTATTATTCTCATATATATATATATATAATGTAACATGATCATTTTGAGAGAATTTCTGTTTCATGTCTTACTGATGGCAACAACTTCCAATTTTCATCACGGAATCAACGTGTTTCAAGTCATTTTGTATACAATTAAGCCATTTCAAAAATTAAATATCTATTTAGATTTAGGAAACATTAGATATCACCAGTACTTGAATATTTCTACAATGTTCCGAGTTTTGATCTTTGTGTATTGTATATGTGGTTGAGTAACAGTTGATACAAGTTTTATGTTGTTAAGAACTAACCGGTATGTCTTAGTTATAGTACGGATCAGTTAGTAATATAAGATTGTACTGACTGTTTTACCAGTCACTTGGTTATTAAAACAATCACTAAATCTTTACTAAAAAGATATTTGTTGGTTGGGTTACCGCGTGTCAACAGTCAGCGTGATTTTGCAGTCTCCTTGTAGTGGTTGGTGAATGCCTCACTGAACAGAATGCGGAATACGAGAGACCTTCTTCATGCTATACAGAGTAGTTGCATAAAGCGTCTTGTTTAAGAGTACAGTCAAGGTAGCACAGACCGGTCCGTTTCTCATCTCGAGTCCGTGATGTGAATGCAGTGTTGACCATAAACCTCGAATCTTCACTTGAAGTTTGTTTTAGTTCAACGCCCCGCCTATTGATTTCTCGTCTGGATAGACAGCCATTGAGTACAATACTTTGAAATCTAGAATAGAAAAGTGGTTATGTTTAGTAGAATTCATATCATTACGAACTACTGCTGTAAATGTTGAACAGCTGTGATACAGTGTTATTTATCGGTCCCGTCATGTGATAAATCACAATGGTATGCTTCATGTAGAGGTTGATGGACTATCTCAGTCTTCTGACAAAGTTTTCATCTCCAAAACAAATAACGAAATAAAGGTTATAATCTTCATTTTCTCAGGATATACATGATAGTCAACGGCTAATCTTCTACATGGTCATTTTGTTAGTAAAATATACATGTGTAAATAATATAATAAAGTATTGTTTTCCTGTGTACCATAGGCAACACGTGTCGTCAACGACAGCTAGTTCAATTAATAATAGTTCCTGTTGTTTCAATAAATTTTTACTGCCTTGGTTGGTCATATAATGCTGCAATTTCAATTGACAACACTCACTTGACTGGCGAAATATTTATGTCACTTGGCACTTTTTCATGCTTTTCATTTTTATTTCTTGGCCCGTAAATACCATACGTCTCTAATTGCTATTAACGAGAGACACTAATCTGAGTACGTCTGTCTGCCGTCCGTCCATGTACAACGATTCAATATACCTTCAAGGTATACTTAATTGCTCGATTTCAACAAAGTCTAACATACACATGCAAAAGATCATGTCAGGGTCTATGTTTGGTAATTGAGGTGATTTATGTTCATTGATCCATGATTAATAATATCAATTTATTCGATTTTTTAAAAATATTTCTGATAAATTAATGTCACTTACATGAAAGGGATTCATTTTAAGTGTATTTAACATGCATATGTATAACTGCATGTCTGGGTCTGTGCTTGAAGGTTAATGAGATTCATACATATTTGCATATAGATATCGGGGCTGGTTTACTCTCACTATTCGGTTCTCGCTGAGTCCAGTATGCACATATATGCTTTTTATTGGAATAGATAACGGAATATGATTAAAACATGTTGTACTGACTGTATGTATATTCATGTATAAGTAAAGAAGATACCCACACTGGTTGGCGTAATTAGTCTCTAATTAATATTTAATTTGAAGAAATCCTTTGATTTCAACTAAGTTAATTTTTTTGATGTTAAATAGAAGCTCGGTACAAAAATGTATAGGACAATTTCGAAATCAACATTGCTTCCTGCCATGAACATGTAGACGAAAGAATTGATATATGCAAGAAGGTACACATAGTGTTGGTGCAAATATCTCTCCCCGGTGTTGTAACCAAGCGGCTGACACAAAGGTTGATATCACCGCTGTCAGAAAGGTATACATCAGCCGTGCAGATATTACACAAAGAACATAAAATGTTTCGAGGTCTACATGGATGATTGTTGTTGACAGGTGTGGGTTATTTGGCGGGGTCTCGACCCAAGTGCAATGTATGTTAGGCGAGTACATTCTGTGTGATCGGAACTCCAGTGTTATGGTTCTTTAGTACGATGTAAGAACGGCTATGTATTATTGTCTCTGTTAATTGATCATTTCCATATGACACAATAACAATCTCTCTGATACTGAGGCTGGAAAGCTGACCTAAACGTAATGTAATTCTATATAAAGTCTAATAGTATCCTTTCAAACATATTCTACACTCTGATTGGCTAATCTTTGCACGTGATCAATTATTGAAAATGTTTGTTAAATTTTACCTACTAAGATACGTGAAAATATGATTTGGGTGTTAAGATGCTTGAAATGAAAAAAAAATCGATATGATAATATTTCGCTTACAAGTTTAAATGTGGTAATTGGTGAACTCTTTGATATGCTTTCTTTATATCGGGTAAATGTTCCACACAGCTGCAACCTATTGATTATATTTTGAGTTTAAAATAACAATTTTTTCGATAAAATTAATAATCAGCCATCATCTAGTAAAGTCACTGCTTTCTGGTTTGAAAGCACACACCCTCCCCTTCCCCGACCCTTGTTTTCCTGAAGAGAGTGCAGTTAGTTTGCCTTAGTTAAAGAATTTCAGGTAACTTCAAATGAGATCATGCCAAAATCAGTCGCAAAACACTTCTAAGTAATGACTTTGTTAGAACAATTAATCTTTCTGACGTCATTCAACTTGACCTCATTTCAAGACGAAAATCAGCGTTAATTAGTACTGTTGATCCTATTTTAGGACAACTGTTACCGTTACTGCTGTAAAGGGTCAGCTAACATGCAACTTGAAGAACGGATCGTTGTATTATTGATGCTAAAGCGGTGTTAAGGATGATTTGTTGTCAAAGCAAAAGAGGTCAGCTTGACCAGGCTTTATTGAGTATGTAGGTCAATTGTTCTTTTCATTTCCAGTAAATTCTATTTTACCAATTCAAACTTTCAAGAACAAAGATAGGCATTATGAATTGGTCACTACAACTATGAAAGATTAAAACAGTTTGTTTTCATAAGTTTGATATGCACGTTCACTGTAGTCATGTGAAGGATTTTTTGGAAGGGGGGGGGGGGGGGGGGGGGGGGGTTGGAAAGAAGAGGAAGCAGAAATGATTTCTCGAAGATTTCTAATGATTTGACATTTATTTTACAGACAGGATGTAGAAACGTGCGAAGCATGGGCCAACAGTCCTCGACAACAGGTGGATTTAGCATTCAACGTATTTTTCCTGATTTATTTCTTTATAAGGGTATGTATTTGGTTTGTATTAAATTATCAATATGCAGATGTAATTGTGCCTGAACATTAACCATAAAGTTTATATCTTGATCCAATTCACGTGTGTGGAGTGTTATTATAATTGTCTTGTAAGCACACAAAAAGATACAATCTCAGAAAAAACAGGAGTTTGTTAAAGTCGCATCCGATATTTGGTCGCGGTCACAACGTTTGACCTAATTCTTTGTTTTTTATGTCACCCTTGAAATATAAAAACTTCATACATATTGAAAATTAAGTCATCCAAAGTAAACCTCAAGAAGGTCAATATTCGATGTCACAGTGAAGAGAATGAAATCATGCTTGTTTGCGAAAGTGCAAAATGACTGCCTATTCATCAAATGTATCTTTATTAGTCTAGCATTCCAAACACATTGTCGTAAGGGAAGATGAACTAAGTACTGAAACATCCTCACATCCAAACACACAAAGATAGATGCTCAAAACTTCCTAAGTAATGTTAGAACAGTCTACGTATTTGTGATGGACAGGTACATCTGCCACCATTATAATAGAAATGGTTTGTTAATCATATTGTTGGAGAGACTGCGTTCTATGTTTTTGATTAAGATAACAGAAACAAGAGTAAGGCAAAATTCTGTTTCCGCGAGGCTGGCTAAAACATTTGTATAACTAACAAAACATATGGATGAGAAAAATAGAGTTATAAAATTAAGGAATTTAGGCACGTTTTTTGTCTATATAAATCGACAGATTCAAGGTATTGTTCAGCTTTGTAAAAAAAATCCATCTTCCATTCTATATTCTTCGATGTCAATGCAGATCAAAGTCAATACAGTGTTGCACAGTGCCCTCAATATCTTGATAAACCATGAGTGATGATTATCTGACAAAGGATACCAGTAGGATGTTTTTTGTTTTGTGTTGCTATCCATTGGCGTCTGTTATTATCTGTTATTGCAACAAAATCATTAACACACATGAATATAATTCATGCAGAGGCAACAGAGTAGACATTTGGTAGGAAGTTGAAGTAATAACGTTGTGTCCCACGAAAAATTTCTCGTATACATTCACATTGTTAGTATACTTGATATTGTTAACAAATTAGCCCTACTTTGACATCGACCCAAATATTGCAACATCTTTAATGATAAAGCAACGCTCCTCTTCATAGGGTCCAGTATTTATGTTGAGGTCAACATCCGTATCAATATCATATCAAATGCATGAATACAACATGTATTCAGTTTTGACGTATTCAATCCCAGACTGCCTTTATATGAAAACGAGTTTGATCCATCTATATACCAGGGAGAAATTTCCTAAATTAATTTGACGTAAATATCATGTTTATTGTATCTTGCACTTTTCACATTCTGTCATCAAGATTAATAAGATGATTACTAAACTCATAATATGCCCATCCACAAAGATCCGATTGTCTCTAGATTGTGATCATGTTAAGCTGCCATCTTTGAAGAGATTTGTTTATTTTCGGTCATGTTAAATTCATCTTAGCCAGTGAAAACTAACGTCAATCTAGGACAAATTTTTAAGCGGAAGAACTTATCATCCTTTCTCATATATAACCTAAATTGGAGGCATAAAATTCAGTGGTTGCCTTCCTCAAATAGATGTCACTCTACGCATACAAAGAGTATTGTGAAGTCATATAAACAAGACGTGACGTTATTGCCCATCTAGTGACAGTTAATTTATCGCCAGTCGTAGCTATACCGAAAAGGTGCATAGAAAATATATTTATAAGAATAAGGTCATTAAGATACTTGAGAAATATATTCTAAACATTGTATTCATTGTCATATTGAATTTACCAATCTGTTTTACTGATTTCATGAGGAAATTTCCTTAAGACATAGGTCCACTAGATTTATAAATTAAGTTTCACATGGATACTCAAGTTAGGTCATCTGTTGCTAGCACAACATACTGTAAATACATTACATTTCACTGGAGTTTATTTTCCTTCATTTCTTGGATACGGCAAATATTTTTTTCATTTGTAAAACGAATTCCAAAACTATTATTAATGATATATTTCTTGAGTACCGTCATTCTTAAAATCTTATGACCATGAGATGGTAAAAAAGTGTATTTATTTACAGTAAAATGACGAGGTTGTCCATCCTTTAGATATATTTTTTCTGTTTATCAGTTTGTAGCAGCCAATGATAAGCTATGGTTTTGGTTGGAGCTCTTCTCATTTGTGGATTACTTCACCATTCCTCCATCTTTTGTTGCTATTTACCTGGACCGCAGTTGGCTTGGTAAGTCCTCCTTAAAATACCTCGATATGGAAGCTGATTTGGATCACAGAAAAAAAATGTTATTATGATGACTTAATATCTTTATGAGTACTAAAGACATATTCGAGCAAATTCATTTAGAAATTATCCTGAGTACCATTGCAATGTCTTAGCTGCAGTTGTTACATAGTTCCACGTACTTAATGATAATGAAAATAGGCATTGTGAATTTGTTACCTGGAGGTATCCGTGCCATCGTTAAAGCATTAATTATCTGCACAGTAACTGCACTACTCAACCTCATGGTAAAATTCCAAACGCTGAAAGACTAGATTTTGAAAAGTTACATTGATTTTTATCTCTTTATATGGAATTGCAGACTGTAAACTCTGATCATAGGGGATGCAATTCACGTCAGGTTGAAATAATGACGTGAGTGACATCGATTGCTGCTAAACAACTGAACCAAGAGCAATGCACTTAGTAATAAATGTTCAGGATGTTATTGTCAACAAAACAATTGATACATTGTCTGATAGGTTTTATTGTAGTTTTGCCCTCATAACGCCACATATATTTTATAAAACCACGTATTTTTTGTTCTGTTTTTATAGAAAATCTTAACGGGAAAATATAAATGCATTCTGCTTGTCTAGTCTCAGGAGAGTCAATCAGTTTTTTTATATTTTCGTTCGTTTGTTAACATCTTCAGTTAATGTGAATATTGAAATGTATTCTATGATGTGACCAGCTGTTTCGTTGATAAAACGATACGGATTGTATAACATTGTATGAAAGATTTTATTGTGTAATTATTCGGGCGTCGCCTGATTGTGTTGTAAATGTGATTTATTTACACATGTCTAGTTCTCCAGACAAATGTGAATGCCAAGTTGGCCACGAAAGGTTAACCTACTACACCAATCTCAACTTATCATCATTTAATCCTATGTGCCAAAATTTCTATTTTCTTCTGGAAGTATATATCGACATGTTAACGGAAATCTTATTCAAACACAAATTCGATAAAATTAGGGTAAATTATGGGACTGCTGAAAAAGTACAAGGAGAATAAGACTTGGTGTTCCGGAAGGGTAAGCTTCTTCTTCTTCGACACCATGTAAATCTTGGTCAGTCGATGTAAGTGTTACGTTCCCATATTAAAACAAGATAAACAACAACGGAATCACAAGGTATACTAACAAGCATCCAACACACCTAAACAGCCAATGCAATCTCTCATTAGATTTGCCTTTTCTTTCCTTCTACGCTATTTAAATAATATATCAATTCCCTTCCACCCTCTCACCCATTCCTAAACACCCTGTACAAGCCACTTTCGTACCACAATTCCCGTCATGTCTTCCGTTCTCGTCTTCATAGTTATCTCTCTCCTCTTAAAGTTTACTTATTCAAAAGTGGTTTAGTACAAAGGGAATATCGGGTAAAACTATAGTCATGTACTTGGTTGAAGAATAATTGTTATACAGACAAGAACAGTTCCCACATACACATATCTCACAGCTATAAAATGTACAGGATTCCTGCCGGCACACATTTGTAATTGTTATCTGCTCGACACGTGTTGTTAATTATCTTTCACACAGATCAAATAGAAAAAGTAAACAAAACGAGCACAGAAGTTTACAGTTAACGAACCATTTATACTGTGAGTCGGTAAACCTTTTCTAGTTTAGAAAAAATAATGTTTCTTTTCATTCGAAAACAACAAGTGTTTTTAGTAATACACACGCTTCCAAAATATTGTGTATTGTTAAAAGTAGAATGGTCTCACAATGCATTGAAAGGAAGATTTATCTATACATGTTCTTTAGAGATTTAGTATTTGCTACTTAATTGCTTCTTATATGTTTACGTGTCAAATAATTTATCTCTAAACAAGAACATGTAAATTATCCAGAAAACAGTGTCAATAATTCGAATTCAATAAGAATTAAAGATTAGAATATTTCATAGCAAAACTGCTTTAAATGTAAATTACGTCAATAATTTCAATCTTAAACTCATTGCGTTGTCAGATAATGCGATCGATGTTGGAAATTTCTAAGTACAGACGAAATTAATGAAACCTGTCTATATAGCTTCAGTATGAGTCAGGTTCAATCGTATCGACAGGAGATACATGGAATTACAACATTGTGTTTTGATTACACTGCCAATAATAGACAGCTGTGTCAAGTAGGATAAATATCCACGAACACATATACCCTGTAGTATAATTTTAACTATATCATAACATCATTGTCTTGTTCATGACATATATTTCGTGTCATTATGCATGTTTCTCACTGCTTCCAACAGAAATCGAACCAGATACTGCATAATGACTTTGGGAAAATAACTGAAGGCATATCTTTATATATATATAACACACGTTAGTTTATTTCTATCGCAAACAATCCTGTCCATATAAAATAGAAGCGAGAAAGCGAGACATGTACATTTTGGAATACATTGTCTTATTCTCCTTGTACTTATTCAAGAGTCTCCAGAAAAACCTTTGTTTTGTTTATATTTTGCCTTATCTTTAATTAATATATTCAGAAAGAGGAACTTACCGTTATAGCAGACGGGGACAGAAAAGATTACCCTAACATACCCGTCTAAAACAATTAAACGAAACTATTGCCGAAACTGTAGACCAGAGGCGATATCTAGTACTTACAAGCAAAGGAAAACTGTAAAATTTAATTGAAATAAACATATGAGTGCAGAGAATGACACAATATGATGTAGTCAGACACATATCTTTCTTGTGTGAAGGAAGCCACCGAAAGTTATAATAGGCTTATTTAGCTGAGCTTGTGGACAATTGGTGTGTTGAAGATGACTTAGAGTGGTGACTGAAATGTCACACATAGATTTCATATTTGGTTCTACCATATGGCTATTGCATGACGTAACTCTGATTAAACCATAAGTCTGTCTTGGAACTCGTTTAGATAAAAAACAAAACCAATGACCGGAGGCAGTCTTTATTGATACTGTCATCAACACACATTGATGACGTCACCGCATGTAATAGATAAACGGTGATTTGAGGTAACTAAATTACGAATCGTGCTGCAGTAGATTGGCCCTAGACATTGATGTTAAACTGGCGCCAGACCATATGACCCAAGGTAGACATACTGTGTCTGTGACACATGGAATGACCTGATGTATTTATAGAACATATTCTCCAGGTTCTGGCATCAGGTTGTGTACACGTTGGACCCATGTGAATATCATGGTTAAAAACAAGTCGTGACCCATGTGAACATGATGGTTTACAAGTTTTAACCCATGTAAATATCATGGTTAACAAGACAACCCATGTGAACATGATGGTTTACAAGTTTTAACCCATGGAAATATCATGGTTTACAACAATTTTGACCAATGTGAATGTTATAGTTTAAAGCAATTTTAACTCATGTGAATATTATAGTTTACAACCCTTTTGACCCATGTGGATATCAAGGTTTACAACAAATTGTGTCCCATGTGAATATCATAGTTTACAATAATTTGGGACCCTTTTGAATATCATGTTTTGCTTATGATATCGTTTGATGCGACTTCTATGGAAATTCTTTCCAACGTCAGACACAGGTGTGTTGTCTCTGTTCTGCTTAGAATCACACTCTGAATTTTCCAGCTTTTATATGTCATGCTTTGAATCAGAGATTATCGTAAAATATAACTTCAGAAAGTGGCACCGTTCCGATTATACCCAATTTATACATATACTAAACGAAAGCACATGATGGTAAATATATGACATTTATAGATTTGATTTATGTAGGTAGTGTACCTCCTCAAATGTTTACTGTTACATGTATTTCGATTTGGATTTAGATTTTCCTCCGTCGCCTCTTAGGTTTTAGCAACCAACCATCACTAGCAAGTCCTTGAAGGAAAAACATTGCTTGATGCACTTTATGTAATTATTTGGCACATCTGTATCTATTTTTGAACAGCTTGTACATTGTACGAACTAACTGTATATATTTGCAAGCCTTCTTTTAAAAAGTTTACATGTTTCTGTCTAGTAGTAGTTACCATGACAATCATTAATTTTTCTGGCGCTTTTCACTTGTCTTAAGAACAATCTTAGCTGGCTAATCTGAGAAAATTGCGTTCACAGATGAACTTTCAGTTTGTCTAGTTAAACGGACAATGTTGGCATCATATTATAGCTAGATATAGAAATATGAAAATTATTACAACAATTCATCAGAAAAGCATGCTTAGTAACAAGGGAGATTATTATCCTCATTTTGTGTGTACTTGTTTTACTTAAGAGGAAATAAAGTAAAAGTCCTGTATTTATATACAATTATAATGCTGTTTAGATACACTGAAACCTGTCTAATCAGACACCTAATGAAATATGTGATATTTACAATATAGTATCATCAAGATGTAAAAGTTGGTATAAAGAACATGCTTAGTCAGAGTACATCGTTCTTTGTATTTTCCGTTTAAATCTAGTTGTAAGTTTCAGGAATTAGAGGGGTCAGATTATACAAATTCATCTGTGCCTCTCATTCTTCTTTAGAAGATAATTCATACGCCAATACTGCATACATTGTAAAACTTGTATGCCTGTTATAAGTTAATTTTTCAGAAAAACCAGAAATATAAATTAGAATGTAGCTTACATGAAGCAAACGCACATTAGTATATCGACATTGGCTAATTAATATCTGCCCGGATAGTGTGATACATGATAGTGGTCTTTTGGGAGGTTGGAAATCTGTACAATCAGATTATGTGCAACATATGTTATCTTGCTTGTCAAAGTCGTCATGTGATTGGAATTATATGATTCTTTTGGTGTTGTAATATGGATATGACCCTAGGTTATCTTTTTGATTGAGATCCAGAAATGTTTGGCTACAACAATAAAACCCTACAGAAAGCCTCTTTATCAGATTCTAGTATACCTCTTTTATCTGTATTCACGTTTCTACCATTTGTTTGGTCTCGTACACCAGAATCAAATAAACCTAATT